ATGATTTCAAATTAATACATCAAATGCTATATGAAAATAGAGCATTTATTAATGATCGGAGTGTTTCAAATATACGAGAGGGTGCACTTTTTACCGCGCTCTTTTCCTATTGTGCAGCATATTTTGAAGAAAAGAGTGAAAGTGTTTTCCGCTGATGCATGTATGTATCACACACATTAGACTGCATCATTCCCCATACCAAAAAAAAAAGTCGGTACTGTGTTTCCATTGGAATTATAAAATCTATTATATTTTTAGACTTCCACCAAAATATTTCGGAAAAATATCAAGATTTACGAGAGTTGGATCAATTTCAAAATACCCCCAAAAATGGAGTTTTTTATGAATAAAAATAGTTTCTTAAAATTTTTTTTTAGAAAAAAAAAATCCCCGCAAATGACAAAACGGTATCAGCTTAAAAAATTTGCATAAAAATATTAAAATTTTTTTTTTTTTTAATTTTCAAGGGCATCGTAATAATGAGATATTTTTTGATGCTGTTTTTTTTTACTTTTTTCAACGATTTATATAAGAAAAACTTGAATAACTGAACCTAAACTATTCCGACTTATGTAGATTTGTCAGGTATCCTTGGAAAGGTATTTTCTCACTCTTTTTATTTTTTTGCTAATAAACTCATTCAAAGGATGAAGGAGAAAGGTACGATGAACGAACGTCATTCAAAGTTGAATTAACATGTGTTGGTATTTAAAAAAAAAAATAAATTGGGTCATGAATGAGTTTTTTTGCAGGGTTCGTATTTGCACACACATGCGCAGCACATCCTAACATTTTACGCTCACACACGTGTGCTGTGCATATAAAAAATTAAAAACTTGCTCACATCACATGTGTGTGCCGTTTGGTAAAAAGCACGGGCACATGTGTGTACTTTATTTTTATTAATATAAAGCACACGCACATGTGTGTGCTTTGCGTAGAGAAACTTATACACTTCGATTTCTATCTCAAATCTTAAAATAATTTTTTAATATGTTTTCTGTCATATAAAAAACAAAACAACATCTCACTTTTTATTGAATTGTCTTTCAAAAAATAACGTTTAATAAACAAATTCTTTTAAAAATATATTATGTGCATGTGCATGGGCTGAAATTTGTACAAAAATCGGCTCACACACATGTGCATGTGCTTAATAACAAACAGCACACACTTTTCTGTGAGCAGAGTTTGTTTTCCACTTATGCACACACATGTGTATGAGCAGTGAGTACAAATTGAATGTGTTTCTGGCGTGTGTGTGAGCAGAGCATGTGTGTGCAAATACGAACCCTGTTTTTTTGTGCACAGAAATAAAAAAAAGTTGGAAAATGCCTTTCTACTGAGATCACATAAGCCTAAGTCAGAATAGTTTTGGCCCAATTATTAAAGTTTTTCGTAAACCAATTTTTGAAAAAAGTTAAAAAATAGTTAGTCTTTATATTTTTCCGAAATATTTTGTTAGACGTCCTCAAATATAAAAAAAAATTGTAATCGCGGCAGAAAAACCGCAACTTTTTTTGTAATGCAGTCTAATATACATACATACATATGTACCTTCACGATTTAATCGCCGCCAAGTCAAATGGTCACGTTCCATGCATAAACTAGCGGAGTAAGAGCAATAATAGCGCGTAGCAAGCAGTTCACCCGTAGAAAGGGAGACTTATCCATCACTTAACTTTCAGTTCAAAAGCTGCGCAAGCATAATCAGACATTCTTATTAGGGTCGGTTGTACAATTAAAAACTAAAAAAAAAATTGGGTTCAAGTGTTTGTTTGCATAATATTTCATATTTTCATCAGAGGCCGTACCAGGAAGTGATGAAAATATACGCACAGCTGTGCCTTTTCTTCGCAATTTTCACAGCATTCTATTGGGATCTGCGATAGGACTGGGGTAAGCGATCTCTGGCCACGCCTCTGCGAACGAAAACCGTGGAGTTGGTTAAGACTCTTAAAGCCGAACGTTAGGATTCTCGCGGGAATACTAACAGGATAGGTCATCAAAAAAGCAACAAGGCTGCAATATGGCGGTAATTATTACGTAGCTCGAACACGGCCTTTGTCATTCATTTACTTTGGTACTTGTCACTTTGTTCATGTAGGCGTGTATTTCTGAAGCGTAATTTTTGTTCGTCGAGAGAGGGCACTGATTTTCAATTGCCTACCCAGCCCGGAGTAGCAGCTGTTGGCCCGAGTTATTCTTCGCTTGATCTCCAGTTTGGAGGGTTAATTTTTTGAGCACTCCAAGGCTAGTCGAAAGCAATATACAACTAGATTTGTCGGATTCAGAGGGTTGTTGAAGTGTCGGCCATCTCGAGACCAAAGATGGTCTAAAACCTAAATGTTAGTATGTATGTATATTTAATAAAATTGCTGATTAAACATACACGGTAATCTCTCTTGAACTGAATTACGATGACGCAGCGCATCCTGGTTATAACTACTTTATACAAAAAAGAAGACATATAAATTCAACATGCTCGTAATATACCTCCTAACATTTAGCCCCTAGGGAATAGGAATAGAGAGGGCATATATATAAACATTTATTAATTGACGAGTTTTTTATGAATTTAAGTTATTTTTAAGATGATTTACAATACTCGCGCTTATTTACTAAGTGAACGGTTTTATTTTATTGCAATTACAGGAGCTGCCAAAAAGCGTGATGTGCGAAACTTGAGCATATCGCCTACAGATTTGGGACCGCCACCAAAGGCACAGCAGACTGCCAAAGGTACATCGACGCGGCTTAAACCAGCGACTATCTCTTTAACACGTAAGTATTGTGTATTAAATAAAAACGAGGCTAACTTTGAGGATTTATCAAGTTGTCTGTAGTGGTTTCATGGAAGTATTATGATTAATAAATATTTTGTTATTAATAATATTTTTATTGAGCTTTGTACCACGATTGTTTATTAGGAAAAATTGAAAAAGCAACAAAGTCTAAGCGGTAGAAGTTATAGCACTATTTCGGAGATCACCACATCTCCTCATCAGACTTCTTTTTTCTAGACTTCTGCAGACTTCTAGAAAAAAGAAGTCTGATGAGGAGATGTGGTGATCTCCGAAATAGTGCTATAACTTCTACCGCTTAGACTTTGTTGCTTTTTCAATTTTTCCTAATAAACAATCGTGGTACAAAGCTCAATAAAAATATTAAAAATAAAAAATGTTAACAAGCCACAATAACATTGACCAATATTTTGTTATTTTATTAACGCCGATCTCTTGAACAAAGAACGAAAGGCAAATCAGACAAATGATAAGGTATGGGGAAAAATCCAACAAGTATAAATAAAAGGAAGCCTACTGTGCACCATTTTTAAAAGCTTTTATGAATTTTCACTTATGGCCCACTTCTCGGTGATTAAGATACTTCAAACTTCAAACATAGCTGAGAAGCCGATGACAATACAATATAAAAGATGACTTAATCCGATAGGTGACGCAGGAGTGGAGATGCTTGGAATTACTCCTTTAATTTGAAAGTAGGGCCTTCGATTTCTGCTCGTTCATTCTCGAGCATTTCGATACCCGGGAAATCGAGTAATCGAGTTCTCGACACGATCTCGGGTATCGCCATTCTCACGAGAAATTTCGAGTAGTTATCGAGACATACGTATGTAAGAGCATATCGAACGTATTAAAAACAAAATAAAAAAAAATGTACGTGTAAATGTTAAATATTCTATTGCCATTTGACATTTCTCTCTTTTGAACTGCGACTGAAATGTCACCTCTTAACCCTATACTATTCAAAATTTTTTCTTTATATAAATTTTCAATTGTGAGCTGTGCGACTGATTTTAAATACATAATAAAATGAAAAGGAATTGCGAGCTGTGCGTTGTGTTTGTCAAGAGCCTGGACAACAAACTTGTGCGATATATAAAACCTTCGAATTGTCAAGTGAAGCGACAACGGTGGGCAAATTGCTGCGAAGTTTCATTAGGGTACTCTTCACGTGTGGTCTTGACTTTATTTGTTGCCTATCGCAGCCGAGTATTTCTAAGGGGACGCGTTTGGTCCCAGGTGCAAGATTTATCATACTGAATATGAAAAGAAAATCTCCGCTTCATATACATACATGGATAGGCCAAATTTCAAATATTGGTCTGATAAAACCTAAATCAGTATTCCTTGTTAACATAAAGAAACTGAAAGTAATATTTAATAAATTTAATGGAAAGGAAATTTCGAATAGCAAAAATTTAATATCTAAATTATTGAAGTTAAGTTCTGATGTAAATTTAGAAGAATCAGACTTTTTTTAATATTCTTTAGAATTAAGTATTGGGATAGTAAAAGCAAGAAAATTGTCAAAACGGTTTTATAAATGAGTGTGTTTCATTTAGTGTGTAATTTTGTGTAAGTATGCATTTCCACATTTACATTAAACCGAAAATTCAATAAATAAAATGAAGCTGATTCTAATGAGATTATAAATATTTTCATAATTACAAAAACTTTCATTTCAAAGATGTTGAGTCCTATCAAATATGGTAAATGCATAACAAAGGGTTAATTTCTTTGTTTACATTTTTTGACATTACAGTCAGGTATGAGAGAGCTCGACTGAATTGTCATTTCTACCTTGGTTCGATGTATATGCTGTATGTATGTATGTGTATAATTGGCGTTTGCTCCAGCAAAGAAAGTGAGTAAAAGTAATAAATGGATAAGAACAGTGCAACCTGGTATTTGTAAAGCTCCTCCATATGGTTGGACAATACAGACCTCACTGAAAAGGAACATGCGCATGGTTGATATTCTGGAGAGCTACGAGTATTGCGCTTGAAAGAAATTCAACAGTTCAGGGTTTAAATACCCTAAAGTAAATACGCTGCCTTAAGTTCACCATGGAGAAGGTCGCGAGTGTTACGAGTTTTTCTACACACGAGAATCTCATGTGAAAGCGATCCTCGCGAGAAATTGCTTCTCGAACAATCCCGGGAAATCGAAGACTCTATTTGAAAGACCTTTGATCTATGTTTGGGGCGAGCTCTTATTTTAATATAAACAATTGTGCAAGCTCTTATGACCTATTCCAGCAAATGGCCAGTTTATCATTATAAGCGTAGACCCCAGGTAACCAAATTAATTGTTTTCGGAGGAACACGGTTCAACCAATTTGATAGCTCTATTTCAAAAATCGGCTGTTGTAAAATATCGGTAGTTAGATTTATTAGTATAAATAGTATATAATGACAATAGCGAACACTAGAAAGTCTCCATTAAAATGTTTTTAATAAGTATATAATTTCTTCCACAATTTATTTTCGCTTTGTAAGCCTAGTAAGGGTTTTGAGTGATTACTACTTCGAAGCCGGTAGGTGCAATATACTCTTCATTTTATAAATCTTTCAAAATAGCTACTTTTCTAGCATATTCCAAACCCGTTCGCTGGTCGCGCTTCAATTCCTCGCCATATCATACGGCAATTATGTTCCTCTAAACGCAGGCGCGCCTCTTCTACATCTCGTACATTCTGCGAAGACCACAAACGCTCAGCTGTGGCACTGACACGCGGAAACGTCGTCGGCAATACATTATATTCATTGATCCACTCGCTCCACAGACACGCTTCACCACCAATTACATGCGCTTTCTGAGCTTTACTACCCTTGAAGTCTGTCGGCTCAATATTATAGAATTTTTCCCAATCAGCGCCAGTGTCCAGCACATACAGGTACCAACCATCACTCATAATGACATCGTAACCTTTCTTCGTAAGTGCAGCCATAGTATTTTTATAATCAAACCATATTTGAGCGACTGTGCCGGCAGGCCATTCCATGTAGAAGTTTTCGGTCATAGCCTGAATGAAATCGGATTTACGGTTCATATTTGCATATACATACATATGTATGTACGAGTATCTTAGTGAAAATAGTTTTGCTTACCTCTTGCCACACCATCTGCTTCCAGCCCATTGCTGAGATGTTAGCAGAGAAACGTTCTAAATACAGATACGATAAGTCGCCATCGTCCAGCCCATGCGCCTTTAGATAGGCTTGAATATCGGCGTTTGTTTCCCAGCAAGCCGAATCGACTTCATCGATACCTAAGTGTAAATATTTGTCGGGGAATAGGGTTTTGATTTCTCTACGGAAGAGTAAAAGTTCATCAATTAAGTTATTTTTGAGTAGGTTTTAAGTGTGCATACCTGAATAATTTGTAGAGAAAGTTAAACGTTCCCTCGTTTGTTGGATCTAATGGCCCCAATTGGCCCGCATATTCTCCTGCGCATTTTGTCATTATTTCCGGATGTGAAGCTCCCCAAGAAGCGGTGTGAGCTGCGTGAGAAGAAATTTAGAGGAAAACTAGAATGGTCAAGTATCGAAAAAATCGATAACAATAATGAAAAAGATTACTTTGAAAAGAAATATAAAGATGAGGATGGCGCTAGCGAGGATGAAATTAACAGTGAAGATAACAATAAAAATGTGTAGAGAAATTTCTGTTGAAAACTCTCTTAAACATGTTTCTTTTGAGATGCACATTGGAATATTGCATTGAAGTTACTGATTTAATCTAACTAGGTATTTAAAAGGTGGTAACCCTTTAAAACAAATTTAAACAAAGCCTTCTTAAAAATATTTCGTTTGACTTTACATCATTTTGTAATTTTCCCTTAACTTATTGATTTAATTCAAATTTACTTTTAAATCGGTGGCAACCCTTTTTAAAAAATATTTTTGAAAAAATTTTTAATGTATGAAAAAATGGTATTTGGCTTTTAAGCATTTAAATCATTTCAAACTACAACTTTCTTAAACCTCAATCGTTTGCCACCAATACTGTAAAACTTCATTTAACTTATCGTCGGTTCAAATTTTTAAATAGTGACTCTCCCTTTAAAAGTGTTTTTCGCAATACAACTTTTTTAAATCTCATTCGTTTGGCATCCATACTGTAAAATTTTGTTGAACTTATAGTTATTTAAGTAGGTGGCAACCCTCTTCAGGAAAAATGCTTTATGTTTACCAGGGTCATAAACTATCTCTAAATTTTATTAAAAAGAAACAAATATATTTGTCATTAAATTGATTTTAAATTCCCAAGCTGGTGGCAACCCTCGCCAAAAAATGTTTTTGAAGAAGATACAGCTCCCGCTTGATACCCATATTAAAATATTGTATTTAATTTATAAATTAAATTGATTTTGAATTTTTAAATAGGTGACAGCTTTTTTACAAATATTTTGAAATACAACTTTCTTAAACCTCTCCCGTGTGATACCCATAATTTATTGATTTTAACTTTTTGAACAAGTAGCAACCTTCATAAAGAATATTTTCGCAAAAACTCGTTCTTTAACCGCTTTCGTTCGACACCCACTTTGTAGTGATATTTTACTTAGCATATTAGTTAAACGATTTTGAATTTTTAGAAGGTTGCAACTTTTGAAATAAATGGTTTTGTAACCCGTTTCGTTCGACACTCACATATTTTATTTAACTTATTAATTAGTTGATTTTATCTTTAAAAAAAGTTAGAAACTCTCTTCAAGAAACATTATAATCTTAATCCGGGTTATAACCTATTGTTGCCAAATTTCACTGAAATCCTTTAAGCTCTTTTAGCGTAAATGATCAACAAATCGACACCTGAGTGCAAGATCGACAGTTCAAAAACACCATTTCTCAGATAACTTTTCAAGAACGCCCTATCTCAGAATTTGATTCAAGAACGCCCTATCCCGCTGCCGATTCAAAAATGCTCTATCTCAGCATATTTTCAATCGGTCCTTTTATGGTTGTCGACTTCCACGTCCCAGTAATTTTTTCATCGAAAAATAGCAATCGTAAGTCCAACTGCAGTTACGCTAACCACAGTACTTTACCCGAAAGGTGTTCCTCGCAAAAATACTGTGGTCAACGTAGCGGGAATTGGACTTACGAGGGCTATTTTTTGCTGAAAAAATTACATCGACATCGAAGTCGACAACCATAATAGCGCCGAATACATTTTCACTCGAGATAGGGTGTTTTCGAATTCGCTGCCGAAATAGGTGTCGAAATATATTCACACATTCACTCACTCAATCACGAACTCTCACATTTACTTATAATATTACGTAGTAGGGTTTTCAAACAGTTCCAATCTCCTTTCCTCAAAAATTTCACTAATTTGTCACCTCAAAGTCAGTTGGTTGAAGAGCATTTCTGTAGAACATAAGAGTACACTTTCGTCTTCATTAATCTCCACCCACTTACCTGGCGCATCGAATTCCGCCACAACGCGTACACCACGTACACGCGCATATTCCACCACTTCCTTCACATTGGCCTTGGAGTAGGTCAATTCAGGTCGATAAGCGCCCTTTGCTGACAACTCTGGAAAAACGCTTGAGTTGTAAGGAAACGCTGAGTCATCGGTCATGTGCCAGTGAAATACATTCAGCTTGTTGTACGCCATACCATCGATCAGCTGTAAAATTTTCTTCTTACTCACAAAATGCCTTGCGGAATCCAACATTACACCACGATACTTGAAGCGGGGCTGATCGTAAATTTCTGTGCTGCGAGTAAGTAGCTGTCAGCAGCGTAAGCGTCAGTGGGGGAGGTGGAGTTGAGCGCAATTTATTTTATATATGTCATGTATATGTAGTAGTTGTGTGGCGTTAATGGGTTAAATTTGTCACTTGTTTACTTACCAGCCCACTTGGCATTGGCACCAACAGCTGGGAGAGTGTTTCCAACCCGCGTAATATACCCCAAATGGAGTTGGCTTTAACCACTCCATCACCACGTACATAATCTGGTGTGTGTGTGGGAAATTAAGAAAAAGTAAATGGTAAAAAGAAAAAGAGTAACTTTTTTAAGTGGCATTAAACAGCGTGAGATAAATTAAAAAGATAGAGCACAACGAGTGCAAAAGATGGGCGCGCTGCGATTAATGCAACGTTCGTTCACTTAAAATTGCAATCTTTTGCAGCGACTTGTTGTTGGTGTTCTTGTTGTTGAAGGACGTGCTGCCGCTGCGGTTGCTCTTGTCTCTATCCCAAACCATTTCAATTATTTATTCACACACACTTCCATACTTACATGACTCATCCATGTCGAGATGTGGCAAGTTTTCGCAGGGTTGTGTCAGATTGACAAGGAATTTTCGGATGACACCAACGGTAGCGGTGGCAGGCGCGCGAATGTAGCCCTCTGCTGCCGCGCGTATGATGTTGGCGTAGCGTGTGAAGGCCGCTTCCAGCAGCGCACAATTGTTGTTCACAGCCTTTGATATGGGAGGAGATAAATTGTTTGCGAAATTTGAATTCTTATGTCCAGTTTTTTATTCTTTGGTTTTCGAAGGCACTTACGACAAATTTAAAATCCGTGGCATTAACCGCATAATAGGTACTGCTCTCAACTTGTTGGTGGGGCTTTGGCCAAACTTTGCCTGCATGAATAGAGGAAAGTGTAATTTAAAATTTAAAAATTAAATGAAAAGGAGTTTTTTTTTTAACCAGCAGTGGCCTTGAATTCAGGACCATAGCTGCGATAGCCACCATCGGCATTGCTAAATTGCAATTCGCAGCAAAGTATTGCCAGCAAAATTGAAAAAATCAGACTGCGCATTTCGAGCGAATGAAGTTGTGCTCGCTGCCAGTGGAAAATATGTACTACGCTCGATTAGAGAAAATTAGTAAAGCAAACTGATAAAGTGATTGTAATTTGTAGTCACAATTTGCCCTTTTTATGAGGGAGGTGACGCCTTAGCAAATTGGCACAGCTGTTTGTTTCTATAAGCTTTGTTATCGAATGAGTATTTCATCTTACGCATGCAAGTAAATTCCTATGAAAGCACGAGTAATTGGCACCTCCATAGATAGATGTCTTGCTTTTTTCACTCTATTTGAATTGCAGCGTAGTCTATCTTTGTATGATAAAGCTAATTATTATCTATTAGCGGTTAACATTCTTAGTTGAAGAGCAAAAAAAATTAATTAGGGAAAGTAAAACACAAAGCAAATAATCGGTGATGCCACCCCATTTTTTTTGCCGAAAACCCTAATCAAAGGTAAAGAAAATCTTAAGTTTAAAGGATTCATAAAGTACTACTAGCTCTGGGCCTAAGTATAGTTTTCTTTGGTTTGGTAACCCTTATTTAAATTTTTTTAGGACATTTTTTGTAGAATAAATTGGTCTCGGAAAGTTCTTGCATGCAGTACTTCTAGGACACTTTTGAAAAACGTGGATCAAAATTACGCCTAAATATACACTTTTTTTGGTTAAAGTGTTCAACAAAATTATTCGCTGAACAAAATCAGGGGTGGGGGAGAGGTGCTTGAACAAATGAAGTACCAAAAATTAAAAATAAAATATATGTTTTAAATATAACAAAGATATACCTTCTAACTCAATAAAAATATTAAAAACTTAGTAGGCCAATATCTCGAAAATGGGTCATAGTAGAACAAAACTGAGAATCAAGGCGAACTCTTACAAGCTGATAGCGACAGCACAGAAACAAAGAACTATTATAAAAAAATTATACACGCAACGACAATCAGAACACAAAAAATTTACAATCAAAAATTTGAAATCAGCTATTTCAGTATGAATTACACAGTATTTATATACAGTATTCCCCGCCTAATTGCACTTAAAAAACTGCAAAATTTTTAGTTCAATTAAGCTGCGAGTCAATTAAAGAGGGGAGTGGGGGGGATTGAAGGTATATCTATTTTTTATAGCATATATTTTTAACCCATTATGCGGGAAAACAATTAACCAGGGGTCAATTAAGCGGGGAATACTGTGCATTTGAATACTACTTCATGCTCTCATACATATACCTTTTGCTTGTAAAAATTTAGGTTACTACAATGTTATGCTGCAAAACGAGTAGTCTTTTATCATGCCTTGGTTTCTATATGCTTTCAACACGCGAGTACAAGTAATTTTCATTCTAAAATATGGAAGACGAGGACATATCTACGATAAGAGTTTAGCGGCGCTTCTTTGGAAAAGTTGTGAGGTCACTCAAACGGAAGCAGTACACACTGGCGTCTCTTCTTTTCCTGGATTACCACTACTAACTCAGCATTACTCAAGCCCAAACAGGCGTGATTGAAGGCAGTGCCCCGATGTTAGCTAGGCCGATATGCTAAGCAATGTGGCTTCAAGAGAATAAGAAAAAACATAAATAATGCACTGTACCTTCAGTAGTGAAGTGCCTAGCTTAAGCGAAAAATTTTGTAGTAATACTAGAGCTTAAGCTAAGTTGGGAGATAAATATAGCGGAGTTGTCTTTCGGTGAAAGCATGAGGTTTCAATTCAAAAGTAAGACCCAGAAAACTAAATATGTGGAAAGAGCTAAAGATCGGGCATAAGCAGTATTATAATCTCTTGCTTAACATCCAAGATTATTGGCTCAGGATAATATATGAACTTAAATCTCTTCTTGTTGATGGCCGACTGAGATGTGTAATTTTATATGTCCGCCTGGATACATCATTTGGACACCGATTACTCTGAAGTCTAACGTGAAGTAATAGCAAACAGATTAGTGCATCTGTCGGACTTCGCTATGTGTTCAAGGGAGGAGTCCAATGAGGACCCTGGCGTTCTTCAAAATAAAGTCGAATCTAGTTAGAATCTAGCGCTCAAATATTTGCTAAATGTTTGACTAGTGGTGTTGTGTGGGTATTTGCTTTACGCCATCTCCGCACGACAGCGAAACATTTTCATGGCCGAGGGGCTCGTTTTCCAATTTTAGATGTTGCCCAGGCAATGGATTGAACATAGGCAGTAGAAAGTGATAGTATGCACCTCTTATCTCTCGGGTTCAGCGGCCGCCCATGTGGCCCGTATGTAACCAAAAAAAAAAACAGACGGTCTTTTACTAAAAACGTTACGAGGCTACTTAGAAGCGGTTTCTTCCGGGCATTGGCCCGAAATCCACTGGAGTTGAAACGGACAGGAGACAGTAGAGCACCTTTGAGTTTATAATATCACTGGAGTCCAGTGACTGGACAGTCTTGCGAAAACCAAGCCAAATTAATTGACTGAACGGCTCAATAATCGTAGTAATCTTTAGATTAATAGTTTGCGATTTCGCTTAGCTCCAACTAGATTAATCGAGTTAAAAATTGGTGATCGCAAAGTAATTTCCGAATCATCAAAATATTCCAAAACTTGCGAATGCAAATTTTAAACTATGCACATGTGTATATTTAATTCTTTTGTGGTCCTTAAACATGATTTTCTCTTGAACTCAAAAAATATACAGCTTTGTTTGGCTAAATTATAAAAGAATGCAGACGACGAGCGATGAGCTATTGTTCCCAATTTTTCTTGACCGCATAAATAAGAAACGCATGTAGTTACTATATAAGTAGGTACATATGTATGTATGTATGGTCGTGAATAAAGCATCCAGCTGCAGCTGCAGTACATACACTTTTCCTCACCCACCAACTATGTTTAACTTCCCTTTTGTCGTTTAAACTTTGCATTGTGTCAAGTGCCTGAATATTCCTGCTCCCTTTTATAAAAGCACTGGCGAATAATGGGGCAGTGAAGGATAGTTCTTTATTGTTGTCGTTAGCCACTCATTTCCTGTCTCCCCTCTTTTGTATATGAAATGTGAGTTCTTTTTAATTTAGCCAATGTTTGCTTGAAGCAATTTTTAGCTTTAATTCGTTAAACGTCGTAGTGCTTGCGGAAATTACTGCGTTTCTTCTCGCTACAGCACAGCTTATTTTTACAGAATTCTGTGGTTCTGATACTTTCTGATTTTAGCAAAGTGTCTGTCATACATAGTACACTTTTACATGTACTCATACATATGTACATATAATACGTGAAACGTTGATTGTGTTACGTAAAAAAAAAAAATCATTCGAATGCGGTGTAACACAATTGCACGAATTCAAAGTTATAGTGTAGACAGACGGCAACGTTAATTCGGATTAACGGCGCAGTTGATTTGATCTGAATTGTACCCTAAAAACATAGACAGACGGCAGCGTTGATCCGGATCAACTCGGGAATTAACTGCAGTTGATCCGGATTAAGTCCGAGTTAAGCTTTAACAGAAGGCTGTATTGCGGATTAAGCGAGTAGCAAGGTCGTAAGTTTGTATCCCAAGGGCACAAGAATTTTTTAATTTTTTTTATGGTTCCTTAAGCAGTTATTTTATATATATTTTTATATAGTTGTAGTTGTTGTGACCTTCTTAAGAAACTAAAACTCAAAAAACTTAAAATAAATTGATATATAATAAAATTAAACTATAAATTAATATATATAAAATAAACTATATAAAAACATATAAATCAAAAAATCTAATTTTTCATAAGCAATTTCTTCGAGTGGAGATCGAATATTTTTGATTCACATTAGTCTGTTTTGAAATCTCAATTATCAGCAGCTGCCCGTTTTGGTCAGTGTTTTCATCGAGAATTCTCTGATCCGCATTAAGAAGTAACTTTAGGACTTTATCCAGTTACAGTTAATACCCGAGATAGTTCCGAAGTAACGAGTTGATCTGTATAAACGCCGCCGTCTGTAATGCTTTTACTTGCATTGCATGTAAAATCCAGCAATCTGCTGGTCATGCTTTTGGACAAACATACATATAGGACTAAATGAATAGCTGTGCGCCTACATTTCTCTATCCATTTGCTGTTTTTTTCTTTCTTCCTTCGTTCATATCTATTTGTTACTTCATTTGGAAATTTCGTTGTTTCGCGGTTTTACTATGTTTTGCTGTGTTGTCGTTCACTTCGCATGCTTAATTAAATGTGCAATTCCGCGATGCGTCGGTTACGGGCCGGGCCAACCAAGCTTGTCTATTCCCTACTGTCTGCAACATATCATTAGCTCCGAATTAGTTCTACTAAAACTAGTCTGACAATTGTTGGGTAGATTTAACGGCAATATTCGAATGTATTTGTTTTTTTGAAGTTGCGTACATATGTATGCATATCTACCTATTGAGACCAAAGTAAGAGGAAGTTGGTAGTATAAGTACGGGAGAAATTTGAAAACTCAATGGGCGCGTTCATAAGACGTAGCTGTTGCCTAACCGTTGGCTATTTGTCTTAGAAACGCACAGTTGAGTAGTTCCGCTCAGCTCAACAGTTGGCAACTTTCAGCCATTTTTTCCAGCGGAAAATTTTTACGCTACCTGAACTCAACGCGTTGGGCTTAGCCTAAACAGCTGATCGAAAAGACGTACGCCACTTAAATTAAATTTAACGCTGCTTTCTTAGGTGGCAGTTGCAAAGAAAACTTATTCTATTTTATATTACCGATGTGATAAAGTGACTAAAATATTTTATAATAATACTACATTTCTAAATATATGTTTTTTAAGATGTTTGCTATATAATTATGCACTGTTTAATTCGTTATAACATGGAACGATTTTTTCAACATGGCGGCAGCTCAGCGTTGAATTCTAAATACAATCGGCGCAACTACCTCTATTTATTGCAATTTCGTTTGAATGAAATATATATTTTTCTGCAAAAAAGCGGTTTATTTTTTAACATAGTTTCGTTTTAGCTCGATACATTTAGTTCAGCGTTTTTCCAATTTTTTGATTCTTTCCAAATAATAAGTTTATCAAGATCCTTTAAAGAAGGGTTTGTTTCAACGATGACCTCTTCATTCGACCCAAATATCTTACCGCCGAGCGATTTCTTCGTATTTGGATACAGCGCATAGTCGCTGGGGCAAAATCTGGAGAATATGCTGGATGGGGTAGAGGAGTTCATAGCCCAATTGTTGGATTTTATCTATGGTGACGAAACAGCACTTTTTTCTCGCCCAAATGTGGTCGATTTTACTTTAAATAATATTCGCCAGAGATCGTTTTGGCACTTTTCAAGGTAATTGATCACAATGGCACCGCGTGCATTCACACCTAC